TGAGTTTTGAAGGGATAAAATGTAAATCTCTTGGCCGTGTGCGTGTTGCGGGATTTTGAAAGGTGAGGGTGGCTGAACAAACCAATTTTGAGTGGACTTTCTTCTATGAATCTTTCTGTACTTTTTAGTGTCTTTATTTCATTCCAATTTTAATGCTTTGGGAGTGTTTTCCCCTAAAAAAAATTTTCTTGGATTTCATATAAAAACGTCATCTTTCTTTAAAGTCTTATGTGCAACAATCAATTTAATCCTTTTACAGGTGATTTATTTGTTGATTTCTTTAATTTTGTCTAAATTGCAACCTTTGATTTGTTAAGTTCCTTTTCTAGTATTGATTCATTCGTGGCTCCTAATTTTTATTATTTCTTTACCCTCACATTCTAAAATCCGTTCAATTCCACAGAGATCTCTTTGGCCTTTTTGTGAATGAACCTCTCAATAGAAAAATATACTCATTCGGATAAGTTGATTAAGGTAGAGACTACAAGAACTTAGCCAGCAATCCGATAGGGTTGGCCGGTGCATAATGGCGGAGCCAGTTGCTCCCACTGCATAATGAGGGGAAAAAATTGTTAATACTTCAAATTTTGAAAATCCAGCCTAAATGAAAAGCAAGCTCAGTTTAGTCATTCTTATTGAAAATGTTTTTTCTTAAATAGCTGGTTTGGACCTGTCAACCTTTTGATTTTGTATCGAATTAAATTGCTTTGAAATGACATGGTTTAGATTTCAATTTTTACAAACCATTTCAAACCGTTTAATTTTTTTAATAAATCAATTTAAATTTTATTCAACTTAATTAAAACTAAACACATCCAAATTAAAAATACTCATCCATATTAGACCTAATCAAATTTAACACAAGGGAAAATCATAAGTCGGTTATTAAGTGTGCACCAAATTAATTTTCGAACATTATGTTTAAAAATGCAAAGCTCAGATAGTAATTAAATTTTATTAATTAAATAAAAAATTATATATAAATCAAATTAAACACCAAGCTTTCTCTAGTCTGACCACGATCATGGCATCCGTCCACTGCTATCCCTTCTTATAGTCGTCGGCATCTACTTGCCCGTCGACATCCTCTTACAGTTATTGACATCCAAATAACTTCGTCGACGAAAGATAGAATCTACAGAGATCGTCGGTTATTAAGCATGTTCTTCAACTGGGAACTGATCGTCGCTCAGCGGTGATTAATCACCGCTTAGCAGCGATTAATCATGGCTGGCTCAAATAGTAGGGAGAGAGGAATAGACATAGCGACCATCGAAGGAGAATGACTAAACATCGTTGGCGACTGATCAACGACTGAGCAGCGCTGGTGTAATTTAAATCTATTTTTTAAAACTTGAATTGAAAACAGCCACATATATAATTTACATAGTACTCACCAGATCAAATAACTTCAATTCTCATCGTCAAAATCTTTTTAATTAAACTTGTGACTAGTTTGGATAAATCAATGACATGTGACCAGTTTTCTTAAATTTTGCATTGATCAGTTGCCTGTGATATTGTTACAATGGCATGTGACCAATTCTCTTAGATCTGTGATATAAAAACAACCTATGAATGGTGACCTATGACCAATTAATAGACCATTGAACTATATCTAGTGACCTATGAACATCTTCGACATACAATATGATCTGTAATTTGTGAATGATGACATGTGACCTATGAATTATAACATTTAACACGTGAACTATAACATGTCACTACCTGTTATATTGTGACAATGGTCTGCGACCAATTCTCTTTGACATGTGACATATAGACATTGATCAGTTACCTATGAATGGTGACCCATGACTAATTAATATTGACCCTTGAACTATAGCCAGTGACCTATGAACATATGTGACTAACGATAAGTGTATTTTATACACTTAT